CGGTGATAACGGCGTCGCCTGCCCGGCACGGCCCGGTGGCGCCGCTGGCGCTGACTTTCCCAACGCGCGCAGGTGCAGCCGCTCCGGCGAGAGCGGCACGCTGCGCTTCCTCATGGGAGGGGCGGTGGGGGCAGGGGGAGCGACGGCGGAGGCGAGCAGGATTACCCCCACGTCACCTCGCAGCTGTCAGCGCTCCGCCGCGCAGACACGCGGCTACTTCGGGGAACAGGGAAACTCTCATTGCCTCAACATTGCCCAATGCACTGATGCTTTACTACTGATTTAATATGTAATATATTAATATGAGCTTAACCACAACATAAACTGAATGAATTACGGAGGACGTCATAAAAACGTCATTTGTTTACTACGTGAGACAACCAGACACGTACGGTGGGCCGAAGGTACTTCTGTTAAATGCTACAATTTCGTATGGGAATTTCAATGATACCCTGTGGAGTGCCTGACGTAGTATCCACGTGCAGTGAAATCCTGGCTTCATCCGCGTTTTCTGTCCGAAACGAAAGAAACGAGCGATTGCACGGTGCCTATCAGGCGTTCTCGGGCCCGCGCCAAGAAGCGGCTTTCCCGCGCCAGCTGTGTGGCGCCGGCGGAGGCGGCCGCGGAGGCGTTGGCGCCGGCGTCGCGGACCTTGGCAGGCGGGGACAATACGCGACCGCTCGGGGTCATAAAAGCGGCGGCGGCACCTGCGTCGCGGAGGCCGCCCAGGTGGGCGACGGGGCGATCCAGGTCACCGCGACGCGACGCGGCGCGGCGCGGCGCTCCGGCCCACTGGGCCCGAAGGCAGGCGCCGCGCGCGCAAAACAAAAGGCAGGCGGGAGACAACGAATTGCGGAACAGTGGACGCGGGCACGGAAAAAAAAGCACGATACCTCCCATCAGAATCTTCTTTTAATTGGGTGATAGACCAGTTGCATTGAAGTACATTACCTGAAAATTTCTATTTTTTCCCTTTGTCATTTTAAACCACTAAATAGACTGTACAAGAACAATTATAAATATGGAGACGTCATCCATTTCTTTACGAAGGACGTTACAGCAATATTTGTGACTCTCCTATTTAAATTCGTATTTTAAAAATGAAAAAATGATATAAGTATATAAATGATTATCATTTAATTTTCTTTTAAATTCGGTTTGTAAATTACGATGCTGGCGTACAAAATTTAAACGACGAAAACAATTCAAATAACTAATGTGACAGAACTTTTGAATTTCTGAAAAAATAAACAAGAAATGTAAGTTCGGTCGGCCGCAGAGCTATCGTGCGCAAAAGGAGCAGCGAGATCGAGGCCGCGCAACGGGGTGGGCGTTTATGTAAGGGGCCGCAGGCGCTCCCACGGCCGATGCGCCGCCTCACCGTGACGCCGCCCCCGCCCACTCCGCACGCGGGCCGGCGCCGCGGCATGAGACGCGCATTTCGCCACGGGCGAAACTAACCAACGCAAAGAGCCCGTACACCTCTCTTTCTGTTTACCCGCGGGCCGTAATGCGCTTCGTTTAACGCGAGATTTTTTTTTTCTTAAAATAAAAAGGTGAGAGGCGTGTTTGAAGTTATGGCGTAGCAGATGCCAGGACTGCGCCTGACTTTCACGCAGTCCCCACGAACGACACCGGCTGTGCATCGAGGGCGCGGGAAAATGATCACCCAGGAACGTGCGTCGTGCTTACACTCAGAGGACACAGTTGGGGTGGGACGACTTTGAGAAGGATTGAAGGTATTTCATTCGTTCGTTCGAGCAATGCAACTGGACTTTTTTTCTACATGCAAATTCATGTTAAACGAGTATTTTAATGAGAAAAAAATCCTAGTCATAAACTTGCTGCTATCCAAGATAGCGAGAAACAAACTGAACACTGCTATCCAAGTGGTGGCACACGAAGTCGATGTCGCCGGCCACTTGCGTAGCAAGGCGAGCATCGTAGTGGCACAGCTCGAACGCGCGACAGGAAGCAGCATAGCGGAGACACTCACCGTGGAGATGGCTTCCTGCGCCGCGCAGGGGGTGTTGGGCAGGAGGGCGTTGGGCGCCAGGACGCCCAGGGGCTGTCGGGGGCTGACCGCCGCCGCCGCGGGCCTCGCACCGG